ACGCGCAGATTTCGTATAATACAGGGGGGTTTGGCGCAATTTACCCTATAAAATTGTTGGGATCTTATTTTATTTTATTTTTTTTATTTTTATTTTTATTTTTTCTAATTCTTATTGTCCTATCAATGAACCTTGAAATACATTCGGGTACAGGTCATATCTGACACTTACCTATAGCAGAGAATATGCAATTTTCATACAATTTGCATCTTTTTTTAGTTTTTTTTTTTTTATTTTTTTATTTTTTTGTTATCATTCTTTTTATCCTATAATTGAATGTTGAAAAATACATTTGGGATAGGATAGGTGCAATTTAGTGGAAAACTGATAGTTGATTCAATTATTAGTCAACATATAAAGTTGATTGAATTAATAATTTTGACTAGATGATTGAAATCTCTGGATAGTTCATTTATTTGGTCTTTTCGAAATTAATTTTTTGAATGAAAATTTTATTTAAATCGCTAATTACCAAATAATAAATTAAAAATTTGGCGATTAAAAACTGTTGTTCTTCTCACCAACCTCTAATTAATTTATCCTCTAAATGCCATTTTACCAATGTAACAGTATTTCAAATTAATTACATATACTAGTATACAACACCACGGGATATTAAATTAATATATATAAATATATGCATATAATCTTTTAATAAAATAATAATATGAGTTTTTAGGTTTCAATTTTTCAACATGTTTTGTTCAAAATTAAATAATTCTTATTCAATGTAAAAAAATATTTCTCACTCGTATCATATAATACGAACACACCATGTCATATACATCCATCAACAATATTTTTCTGCATACCACAAGAATGATGAGAGAGAGACAGAAAAATAATGTGAAACCAAGTTTCTTTAGTTGTGCAGAATTTAAAATAAACATTTTAATGATTCTATTCATTGGGTTGTCCTCCTATTTCGTCTAGTGAATCGATTGTAATTATGTGTTTAGTGAATGAATTCTATCGTTTCGAAAAAAAAAAAAAAATCTATTCCTCTTATATAAAACAATTTTAATATCCCACAAATGCAATAGAACATGACAATTGGTAAGTTAAGGTTGAGTGCGCTTTTCTCATTATAAGCAGAGATTTTAATTACTTTAGAATATTTGTTAATAAATAGTCGTATAATTGATTATGTATTGCATGGTATCAAGATAGGCAACAAATATTTATTGCTTAAAAGATGTCATATTTTGTTAATAATTTTTCAAATAAGCATATTCAATGTAGATTGTCTATTTCA